CTTCCTCTCATCAATGGATCCAGAATAAAGGCAATTTATTATGCTACTCCAATATTTTCTTTGTTCCTTTTTCACAGCGATATCTTATGTATTTTAAGGAACTTATGTGTTACTGGTTGTAACTTTTATAATCTTCAAAATTTTAAGATTCTCTAAACAAAATGTGGGTGCCTAATAACGAGTCAAATTGTGTGCACCGACAATTGTGAAAAATATAAATATCTAGGTACGAAGAAATCTGTAAGCTGAAGACCATTGGAGGAGGCCACATCAGTTGTTGTTGAAATAGATTTCCCAACATAATTAAATCTTTCATTTAATAATAAAAACATCGATCGTCTCGAATCAATTATTTTACGGCTGCCACCAGAGGGCGCTACAACCCTTTGCAGACGATAAAAGCCCAGCCATTCCACACTTCCCAAGGAGTTTTTATTTTGTGGAAGCAACACGGCAGGGCAGAAAACGAACACCACTGGGACATTTCCAATGTTTTCCATGTCATTTTACTAGATCTATTGTCTCCTGTTTTTATTTTTATCTTACAAGTCATTCTCAAACACATAAAGCAGGAGAAATGAGTCATGCCTCTTTTTTCAGTTGGGTCAAAGAGGGTAGAAGACAGAACGAAAGTACGAGATTGAAGGTATCATTTCTACATTAACATCTTGCTCCCAAACACCGTGCAGTGCAAAAAGTCACATCCCCATCATGCAAGGGCATTAAAATGGTGGTTTAAAATCCTGGGCTTAAACGTAAGGTAGATAGCTAGTGGGAAGCAGCCGCATAGCACAGGGAGATCAGCTCGGGGCTTTGTGACTACCTAGAGGGGTGGGGTAGGGAGGGTGGGAGGGAGGGAGACGCAAGAGGGAAGAGGTATGGGAACATATGTATATGTATAGCTGACTCACTTTGTTATGAAGCAGAAACTAACACACCATTGCAAAGCAATTACACTCCAATAAAGATGTTAAAAATAAATAAATAGATAAATAAAATCCTGGGCTTTATTAAGAGATGCTCGACGTCTCCCTGGGGCATGCTTCCCCTTTGGACTCAAAGAAATATCAGAACAGGGCAGTGAAGTCTTCTCGCAGCAGGAGAAATAGAACTATTTTTTAAAATATCTTTTTTTTTCTTCTTTGTTTTCTCTGTGGTCTGTGGTGATGTGAGAATAAAGATGTGCAGAGGAGGTAAGAACATCACTTCCTGTCTCACAACATAGAGAAACATGTAGAGGTTAGTTATCTTGTTCGCTGAGACGAGCAGCTCTCAGTGCTGGGTGGAAGGATGGCCCATCCCCAGTCCATTTCCTATGAGTGGCTAAAATCTAGTTTCAGGGGCTTCCGTTTTTAGTGACATATTACAAAACCATAGGCAGGACAGTCACCTCACATTTCTAGGACTCCATTCCTCTTATAAGTGTACAAAACAGAATTGAAAGGTGAAATAAATTGGAAAACCCCAAACAAATGTCAAATTCTATTAGATGAAGAAGAGATGCATCCTAAGACTTCATTTGGACACGGCAGCTTTGCAACATAAAGTGACTGTTGGATGGGCACCTTGTGTACCTAAATTACTCACTCGGTCTTCTGTGTGGCCTCATCAAAATATTATCTTTCAATCAGAGTATCGTACAAAGAGGTATGTGTCCATGAATTTAAATATGGCTGGAACTGGTATAGCACCTCTCTTCAAAAGACTTAAAAGTAACTGGTTCGTCTCTACCATATTGTTTGTGACTTAGAGGCTGTCTGAGGAAATTAACATAATTACATGAAAAGGAATTGAGAGGAAAGTTAAGGTCCTAACCCTTAATCACTAAGCTCTGTCTCTGGCATCTCCTGACACGTTTTAAAAGGAAAACAAAATAAATGGATCCCTTTCATCCAAGGATCTCACAGCTCCTAACAAGCAGTGTACTTTACAGAAGGAAGGAAAGGAAGCAGAGTGGTAAGTTACACCCCAATCCACAGCCAGCCCAGCAGCAGGTCACTGCAGGAGGGACAGTAACCTTTCAGGCTATGAGGAAGAGACTGTACTCAAGGAAAAGGGGCCTTTGGGTTTCCAGTGGATGACTTCGCAAAAGCTACCATGGCCCTGTGCCCATTGCAGCGCGATGGCATGTACAGTCCAAGTCCAGCTGCTGGGTCCCCGCAGCCACTGCACAAGGCAGAGGCACAGGGAGGAGGGAGACTCACAGCAGCAGTGCCCCTACTTCCTAGCACAACGTTAACACAGAGTGAAAGCATCCTCAGAAAGGAAGTCACAAGTGAGCAGGTGAGTTTGGTCTAGAAGAGCCAGGTGCGAAATCGTGCATCTCAGTTTAACTTTCATTTGGGAGGTTCTGCATAGTAACTGTTCTAACTAACAAAGCAAAAACATCTCGACGAACCTGACTTTGAAAAGTAACTGAAAAGCTAGACTGAGTAATCTCACGGATCTGTTTTGCCTTTAAGTTGGAGTGGTACCAATGGACTTTAAAAGGTCAGTTAAATATGTATTCATGAAAAGTCAAAGTAAAGCGTTAGAATATATTTGCAAGCCCTGGCCAAAAGCTTTCGAAGCACGTCACTTTAGGAAAAACTGGTTTAACGTTTATAGGTTGGTGCTGGAAACCAAAGAGAAAAAGGCAGAAGAATGCCTTATCATACCATCCTTTCCTCTGCAATTATTTCTCCTTTTCTCACCACTTTGGTTACTTTGTGAATCCTAAACAGTCCACCTAATTATGGGAAGAATTAGATGCTGCTAATTACAGAAAGAATCAATGCTGATTTCTAGAGTAAAGAGGTTAAAGCACTGGCCTTCAAATCAGAAACTTCAGGGTCCAGTCTGAGGACCTAAATGTTTGCTTCTCTCTGTGCCAACAGTAAACTCACAGAGGGCCAGGTCCCCTCTTCTGCAGGGTCTGAGCCCTGCCCAGTATGCTCCAACTGTTGCAGGAGCACCTAAATGTGTACTGGGCCAAACTGACTAGCGTGGCCTTTCAGAAGCTTCTAGTATTACAACTTGCTTTCTGGGTTTTTGTGGGGTTTTTTCTTAATGCTGAATAAGGTTGTTTTTTGTTTACAAAGTATTAAAACTTCTTAGTAAAGCTTAGGGAAAATTTCAACAACTATTTCCATTTAGTTCGCAGATAAAATTCAGGGGGTTATTTCCATTTGAATGTCAAGCCACACACTTTGACACTATAAAGCCAACGATGTTGTGTTGACAACTTGCCAGGGGTTAGGCCAAAATGGGTCTTTGATGGGTTGTGGTTATTCTTAAGGTGAGAAGTATTCATGGTGATTAGTGGGTGAAAACTTTCCTATTGTTTCTCTAATAAAATGAGTTCTCTTAAACGGTAAACCCCAAAATTTCTATTGGTCTTCCATCAAAAGACTGCATTAATTGAGCTTCATCTGGTTTAGGATATGTAGGCATAAATGGCATAAAACTTAAAGTATATTTACTAGAGGGATAATACAAGAGGAAAGCCCTTTTCTGGTTAGGAGGATGGTTTACAACAGATAGAAATCTAAGCATTCTGGAGAGAGAGAGAAAAAAGAGAGAAAGAAGCAGAGAGAAAAGCCAGAAAATAGAGATTATTAATGCATGCCCTACATTTATCCCACAAGATTTCCTGAGCATTCCTCAGACATTATAGTGCAACATAATAACTCCAGTGAATCAACAGTACTCCTATTTTTCTCAAGCAAAAAGTATATACTTTGAAACATATACTGAATAAAACATATAATAGTATATCATCTTTTAAGACACTAGTAATTTGAACTTCTATAAATATTCTTAAATAACAAATATATTATATTTAGCTATTCACATAGGACACAAAGTGACACATAAACATACAAAAATAAAACAGTCATGTTTTAACTCTTTTGTTGTTTCTGTTGGGTTGATTTTTTTTAGATACTAAAGATACTAAAACAATTCAGACACCAGAATCATCTTGTCAGTATTGATCCTGGGGAATCTGGATGTACATTTATATATTTATTTATTTATTTATTTATTTATTTATTTATTTATTTTAGGCCATGCTGCGCTGCCTGGGGGATCTTAGTTCCCCAACCAGGAATTGAACCCGGCCCCTCGGCAGTGAGACCGCGGAGTCCTAACCACTGGACTGCCAGGGAAGTCCCTGGTTGTACATTTATACTGTTCATAGCTACCACACCCAAGGGCAAAGGCAGTAAACATTCCTCGCTGGACATATTACTATGTCCTACAGTGGT